ACCTTAATCTTTTATTATCTCCTTTCACCTTTGACCAAGACATTCCAAGGCTGTCCATTCCCCTGTTTTCTTTACCTTCCATCATATTTCCTGACTTTTCATTTATTAGGTCTATCTCTACCATATTGATAGTGGCAAATGGTGGGAATGGGTTTTTGTCTACTACTATGGATTCCTCTTTCCCTAGAAACTTTAGTCTACCTTTATTAATTCGATCCTGCACAACATTCTTGAAAGCTTAATAGATGTTAGTAATATGGCTCCATGAATGGTGATACTTAAAATGTTATTTCCCTTTATATTCCTCTCTTGATGGAATCTTATACACTACAAGCAATGAGATAAACTTCTCTTTTAGCATGAAATTAACGATCTCTTCAATTTTGGAGGTATCAAATGTGTGTTATACTGCGTTAAGCCTCTTTGGGGCTTTAGCAGGCTTCCTTATCAAGGTCGAGCATGTGTAATCTCCTACATTTTTTTAGCTTGCCACAGCCACATCCAACTCACCAAAATATATGCCTATGGCCGTTCACTTATGATAATCCTCCTCTTTCAGTAATTCCTCATATCCATATACTTTAGCTGCAAGTTTATAGAAGTCTTTGAACTCTATACCCTAGAATTTTTTCCTTAGTTCTATATCAAGTGCTACTTGAGCTAATTTGACAAATTTAGCCTTTGAAAGAGGTACATTGCACCTGCTCCTCAATCTCTTAAATCTCTTAAGATATTGATTAGCCATTTCTCCTACTTATTGAGTCAGTTGGTAGAGTTTTACAATGCTAACTTCAGGTTTTGCCTTATAAAACTGTACATGAAATTTTTGTTTCATTCTAAGCTAAGTAAGCATTGAGTTACATGCTAAAGTCATGTACTAAGTAAAGGCTAAACCTGTGAGGGAGTTTGAGAATAGTCTCATCTTTAGATTAGTGAAGTTGTCATAATTGGTGACTTTACCGCATTGGATAGTGAATCTGCTAATATGTTCTAGTGTTGACTATGTCCCATCTCGTAAGAATAAAGTAAAATCTGGGATTCTATAGCCCTTGGGATAAGGATTGTCCTAGTTTGTGTGTTGGTTTCACAAACATAAGCTAGCCAATTGGTCTTAACCCACTCCTATATATGTCCTTTATGATGTCCCTCAAGGCTTCTACTATCACCAACTGATTTCGTTGTTTGTTATGTTGTTCTAGGATGGCTCCTATACCCCCAGGCCACCTATGTTTGGTTCTTGTAAATAATACAATGGATTATTCATGAGGTTATTGTTAGCAAAAACATGAGGAACATAATAGTCCTTTATGAGTGTGTGGCCCTGAAGGCCTGCATTTAGATTGCCTCCTAATGGTTGCCTTCCAAGTAGCCTGAAGGTTGAGCCTATTTCAAGAGGTCCTCCCCTGAGTGATACGGCTATGTCCTCATCCCTTCATGTAAAGCTTGCATTATCATTTGTTAGTGTTCTCTATCTCTATGCTTGAACGTTTCCAGAGAGAGAGCAAAGAATTTTTAATTTTCTTCCATCTATTTATCTATATGGTTTTGAATTCCTCATAGCACCTCTACTACAAGACGTTAGATATAATCAAAGGGTTAACGTGTTCACTTCCTACTTTTGAACTAGGACTCATGCTACTGCTACTTGTTGTCCTCGACATTATATGCTCATGATGTCCAACTACCTCAGCATCAAGCATCAATAGTTCTAAACCTGCAAGTGCAGAGTTTCCTTCTGGCTTGTTAGAACTAGCATATGTTTCATCAATCTTCTTGTCTTTTTGTGTCCTTAGCATCTTGTTACACAGAGTCCCATTAGGCGTGCCATAAATTGTTCTTTATAAACCATAAAAGTACTAGATGTGTTAGAGACACTGAATCTCAAAAGATAATAAAAGGTCCTTAGGCTCCCTTACCATTGTTTACTTGGATGAGAAGATGCAAAGAGATTGGAATAACAAGTACTTGATTAATAAATGCACCAAATGTATAATTGTAAAGGTTACAAAACTAAAAATAATTCTAGAAACTATTTGAAAATATAGAGTGAAATGTTAAAAAGTATTAATAAATGTTGAGGATTGATTGTCGTTGATGTCTCTTTCCTACGACCTTCTACTCTTGTTATAATGATTCAGCTTAGATCGTTACCCCCACAAAATTGAGAGCTTGTTAGTGAGATATCAGGGATTTACTAGCATAGCTCTCGAGATTTGTGGCATACCTTCTTAATAGTCTCGTACGTATGGTCATCTCGAGTCTTAAGGGCTACATTAGGCATGACACATCCTCCTTTCCTAGTAATGGACCAAGCTATATTTCTTGGGCCAATTATGTCTTTTACCTCAATTTCTCTCATTGGGTTGTCGTTTTTGACTTTAGGCCCAAACACATATGTTTACACTCAAGAAAACTTGTGATGGTTAAACTTGAAAAGCTTTCCATTATATATTTTTGATAAAAATAATAAGAAGGTTCAATTATTATGATCAATAGAGTCCATAGTTTTTGCTCATACTTGTACGTTGCATTTTTTTTGAGAGTTTAGATATTAAAAATGTAAAATATTTTTAGTTTTTTAAGGTGTAAGTAATGTACTTTTACCAAAAAATTTATTTATTTTAAAAAAAATATCTAATTAAATACGAACAAACATAAAAAAATAGTGTTAGTTGGGAGACAACTAATTACTTTATTAAAGGGTATAATTTAATTAAAAATATTTTATATTTTTAAATAAAAGTAGAGTATTTAACGGGAGATTTTAGACCTCCACTTTTTTCGTTTTTGGTTGAATATGTGCAAAAGTAAAACGCAGTTGGCAGCTTCTTATTGTTTTTAAAAGGAGGAATATACTGTTGTTTAACAACCAATAAAATAAGGGCGTGGAGAGAAAATGGCCTTTTACCTAGCAAAAGCCTACAAGATCAGGGTCGTCATCTTGTGATTGGGGACCAAGCCATGGGTTCAATTATCCATTGCTATATGAAGAACCCTTCCATTATTAAAATAAAAAAAAGATAGTATAAAAGATTATATATTTATGGATCTCATATTCATATTTTAATATTTTTCAATTTTAAAATTATACCAAACATCTTAAGAATAAAAAATCAATTTAAAATCATGAATTATAATTTTTTCATATAATTTTAATTTTTAATATTTAATTTTTTTTAGTGTTTGATACTATTGATTTATCCGTATTCCAACTAATTTGAACTTTGGACCACAATCAAGTCCTTACTCAAGTCAACTGCTATTAATTTTTAATCAATAATTTTATAGAGTAATTTAAATTTAAAAGTCACATATATTGTCTTATTTATAATTTATTTTCAAAAAATTTCATTTAAACTAAAGAAAATCTTAAAATTCAACAATTCTCTTTAAAAATTTAATAAGTTTTCTCTTTCTAATATTCAATGAAGGATAAAAAAAACTTATGTCAAAAATTTAATGAGGTAACTTATAAATAAGATTAAAAAGTTTTCTCTATCTACCCTATAAATAAGAGCAGGAAGAAGTAATAAGAAGGAAAGAGTAATATTGGAACGAGTTTAATTAATGAAACCTAATTTTTGTTAATGTGTTTTATATTTTAAAACATTGAATCACCTCCCAAAATGTTTTATAAATTGAGACAAATGGAGTACTTTTTCCCATTGACATTTAATAAAGGATAAAAGAACTTTTTTTAATAAAAAGTCAATAATATATCTTACAAATAAGATTAAAAAATATTCTCTCTTAATTTTATAAATAATTAAATAACACATGGGGTACATTTGAATTTTCTGCTGTTAAATTAATTATACATTAAAATTCAAGGTGATGTAGTGCCTGCTTGAATTTCGGTTGGGTATAATAGATTATGAAAATAATTGATTAAGTGGTAGATTTTAATCATAATTGATTATGCTAGAACACAATCTGTTTGGATTTTGTTTTTTTAAAATTGATTTTAACAGAACTGAAGATGTTTGGATAATTTTTTTAGAATCAATTTTAGCTGTATAAATTACCATAAAGGACATTGCTTTTTAAAATTAAATTATTGATAAATTTGTATCTAATAGTATTAAAGTTGTTACATTTTATTTAAGAAGTAAAATATATTGTTTAAACTACATATATAATTAATTAAAAATTTAAATTATATTAATATTAACATTTAAATTTATTTAAATAAATAACTAAATATATCTTACTTAAAATAAATTCAATAAAAGACAAAAAATTAAATTCTTAAATATAAAACAGTAATTTTACAACAATTAATGAAGATGATAATATACAAGTTAGTCCTTAATGATATCACGAATACTAGTCATAACTGATGAAGAAGATATCATGAATGAATATTCATCAACATCATGGTCTTCTTAATCCTCATGGTCTTCCTGATCTTCCCTCTCATGACGCATAAAATCAACATCAGAGTTAGAGTGTCTTCTAATGAAATTATGTATCGTCATTGATGCAGCAATGATTTGAACTTGTATATCATAGTCATAGCTAGGCATGTTGCGTAAAATTGCAAACCTATTCTTCCAAACTCCAAATGTTCTTTCTATTATGCACCGTAAACTTAAATGAAAATAATTAAAGACCTCGTTATTATTTACAAATCTAGTTGATCTTCTAAAATCAGGAAGATGGTAGCATTCTCGTCTATACGAACCAAGATATCCATTTGGTGTTGGATAGCTAGCATCTACCAAATAATATTTACCTTGTAAAAAAAAGATTACTATTAATGCCTGTGAGCTGGAAAGTCTAACACAAATAAATTGAACAAACAAATATACCTGAAGGCGGATGTGAAAAGTTCATGGATTGAGTTGTCAAGGCATGTTGAAAAATGCGAGCATCATGTGCAGTGCCCTCCCATCCAGCCAAGACAAAAGTAAAGCACATGTCCCAATCACACACAGCCATTACATTTTGCATAAGGATTCCTTTTCTTCCAATATATTTTGATTTTTCACTAGCAGGGACTACACATGGAATATGTGTGCCATCAATTGCTCCAATGGCATTTTTAAAGAATGGCTAATATTGCTTATCACACTCATTGCATCTGCTATTTGACTTGTACTAGGTAACTTGTTCTTCTTTCTACTGTTACTGCTTTCGCCCCTCTTCCTCTTACCACTGCTTCCACTTAAGGTTCCTTGAGAAGCATTTAGAACTACTCTATTAAATTCACCGCTTACTCCAGTAGTTCCTAAGATCTCATCACTATCTCCTGAACCTTCCTCCAAATCAATACCCTCATTTGCCATATCAGGCCGATACACCTCTTCATCTTCACCTTCATTCCTATTGTAAATGTTAGGCAAAACTCCACTTGAAGGTGCTCATGCTCTAGGTCCATTGGCGATAGTACCTTGGAACAACTCGGTTAATTCATTGGCAAATGGTAATCCTTTATGTTTGAATTTCCCGTATAATGGATTTTCCTGCACATAAATTATCAATAATATTACAGAATACATAAATAAATAAAATAAATATAAAGCCTCACATAATAACATCATACCAATATCTTCTTCTCCCACCAATCATCTGAAGCATCCATAGTATTGTTTGCAATCCTGTCTCACTTGAAACCAACTTATCCCACAGTACCCACTCTTTTCTCATATTATCCCACTTATTCTTGAATTGTTGTCTGTCATATTTCTGTCCAGTTCTCTCATTGAAAGTAGAAATTATGCTAAGCCATCCTTGTTTGGCAAAACTACCACCATTTCTTTGCAATTTTCGAGCTTAGTCCAAACAAATGTCAATAAATATTCTAGTGTTTCTTTGATCTCATGAAGCTTTTGACTTATTGTTACTCATTATACTATATAAAAAACTAACATGTTAATTATAGGAATTGTAATTAAAATATTACATAACAAAAACTTAGCAATTTTCAGAGGAGCCAAATTCAATAGAGACTCACACAGTAAAAAGTTTGACTAAATGACCCCTATATATGCAAAACATATTGTTTAAGAATAAAGCTCCAGTAATCAGTGATCACACAGACCAAAACCAGCAAAGAGTTCGATTAGGCACAAAACCAACTTTTAACAGCTTTCTCACAATTTGCAAATGTATAAGATTTTGACTAAAATCAGGTTTCAATAGCTAAAAAATTAACTTTTAACAGTTCTCCCATATTCAGCATAGAGTTTGACTAGGCACAAAACTAACACAGAAAACAACATCAAAAATCAACTTTCACCCACATTATTATTTGTAAATGTTCAAGAGTTGTAAGTGGTTCAAACCACACAAAACTAAGCCAGCAATCGTGAGAACAAATTCATCCATGCATAGATCAGAGTGAAGAGGGAAACAGGGTCTGACCAAGATCAAACCTAACCAAGATCGTCCAAAAGAAGGTTAGAGAAGATCATTTACCTCTGAGCTGGACCGACTAAAGAGGACCACAAGCAAATCAGCGATGGAGGGAGGACCACGAGTAGATCGAGGCAAGAGAGTATAGATAAAGCTTACTGCCTTCCTTGACTATGGCAGGAGATCACCGCCACTAGAAGTAACTCAGAGACGGCAGACAGAGGAGGCGAAGCCACGAGGACCACAAATCTACACAGAGTTAATTTGAGTATAAGTAGGGGTAATTGATTTGAGTATAAGTAGGGACCGGACCAATGTTCCACAAAACTGAGGCCACGTGGTTTGGGTGTCGACGTGTTAGAAAATTCATTTCAAGGCTTTTTTTTTTTTTAATTTCTTTCCTTAAATTTTAGGAGGTGGTTTTTGTCATAAATTGTCCAATTTTTGGATGGTTTGGCCGTGTTTGACTTGTCTGGCCGGGCTTTGATTGGTTTCTTATAATGCTGCTCTTGGTAAAGCAACGGAATAAGGACTGATTATTCATTAAAGTATTAGTTTGATCTGATTTTTAATGCATCGATTGTTACAAATGTTAAATGACAAAAATATTCTGAAATTATTGTTTCAGGGGCACCTGACAATCTGATTTTTTTTTTTTTGAAAAATTTTATCCTACTGTTAAAAATTATAAATGTTGATTGTTAATTAAAATTTGATCAACATATTTTATAATTTTACCCTCCTTCATTTTTATGTTTTTCAATCTTTGTTTTTATTTGTTAAAATAAAAAGAGTTAAAAACTTATTGAAGAATAAAATTGGAGACTAATCATAGAAGGAAATACAAAAATATTCTTAATTAAATTTTAATTTAACAATCAATGTTTGTAATTGTTAATGGTAGGATTAAAATACTTTATTTTAAAAGCTTTCAATATAAAAATGTCCAAAAGAAAGATCAAAATGTCTCATGGCCTTGAAGAAAAAATTTTAGGATAATTTTGCCCTTTAACATATATAGTCAACCTAGAGATAGTCTCCCTAAAGTCCTATGTAGTTGTGATTTGTTGGGCGAATACTAAAATTTCTTAAAATAAAGAGAAATTATAGACATATGATAGTAGGCCCCATCTATCATTATGAGTCTATTTCTTGTCCTGCCAATTGGCGTCAGTTTGATCAAACTCTAAAATGAAAAGATATGGAGTGCTTGCAATTCAGACATGATAATTCTTTAAATTATTAAGACTTTCTCGGTATTTCTAACATGTTATTGATGTCTTGCTCGATAACATTGGGATGCCTTTCCTTCTTATCTTTGCAGCCTTAAAAAACATTAATTAATTGAATGCATTAATGATATGTTATAAGTGAATATATATATATTCTTAACATACTCCCTCTATTTAAAGATATAAGATTTTTTGTTTAATGTAAGATGCAAAAAATATGAATCATGTTGAGTATTTTAAGGTGTAATTAATGATTTTTTTTCAAAAATTTCCCTTAATTAGGAGGTGTGATTGATAATGTTTTCTAATATTGGTAAAAAAAAATAATGATTTTTAATGGAAACAATTATCTATTAAATTAGGGTAAATATAAAAAGGTTGTATTCCCTCTAGTCTTATTTATAAATTACTTCCAGCATGTTTTACCAGAATTAAAAAAAACTTTAAATTTCATTAACTTTGTTTTAAAATTTAATAAGATTTCATCTTTATTTTTAATAAATATTCTTAATTTTCATTACTGGTATTTGTATTTAAAGTATTTAATAAAGAAAAAAATGTAAATAGAAGTATTAAAAATTATTAAGTGCCCTATAAATAAGATCAATATTTTTCTTTTTTCTTTGTTCTATAAATAGAATTAGAGGAGTATAATTTTAAAGATAATTAACTAACTCATAAGGATGTAATTTGATTAAAAATATTTTATAGTATCAAACAGAGGAATATACATCAACTCATTAATTTGAAGTCTTTTTATAGGATTAAACTTATCTTTAGTTAACTCTTAAACTGCTTCCCATGCAGGACTTAGATATAATGTGGCTTAGAGACCCGTTTGAGAGGTTTTTCAAAGATGTAGACTTCCAAATTGCTTGTGATCGCTTTAATGGAAACTCTATGGACACAACAAACGAGCCAAATGGGGGGTTCTTGTATGTAAGATCTAATCATAAGACCAAAGATTTCTACAAGTTGTGGATTGAGTCAAGAAAAATTGATCCAAAACTAAATGAACAAGACGTGCTTAACAAGATCAAGACCCACTCCTTTGTGTCTAAAAGGAAGATGATAATTAGGTTCCTTGACACAACTTATTTTGGAGGGTTTTGTCAAGTAAGTAGGGATTTCAACAAAGTTTGTACCATGCATGCCAATTGTTGTGTTGGTTTGGACAACAAGATCTTTGATCTTAAGATTTTGCTTCAAGATTGGAGACACTACATCACTTTGAATCCAAATCAGAAATTACATTCACACCCTTCTTGGAGGGTTCCAAACAGTTGCAGGTAATAATTGGTTTGTTTGATTCTATTCTCTATTTTTATATTTTTAAAATAATTCCATAGAGTATTTTTTTTTAATATAGAACAAGTTTTGGAAACAATTTTTTTTTAAAAAAATCTGTTTGAATTAGAAGTGGTGAAATGGGGGTTGAAAAAAGGAAGAATGACAGTTAACTTCCAAATGATTGAATTAATGACAATTAAGTTCTTGAAAAGTTTTTTTACAAAATAAATTATAAATATCAATTTAAATAATTACAAACAGAAATTTGTGTTATATTCTAAGAGTTATATTTATTATTTAAATATTTATTTGCAATTGAAACATCTGAATTTATAATTATTTGAATTGATATTTTTAAGTTATTTTTTAAAGAATTTTTTTTTAAAACTTAACTATCATTACTTCAATATTCTGGAACCAAAGTGTCATTCTCCCATGAAAAAATGGTTTCTTTATCAATATAATTACCACTAATCGAAACATGATGTTGTTGACTATTCTTTTTTTTTTTTGTAGAACAAAAGGTAATAAAGCATTAAAAAAGATATGTTTTGTTTTTTTATTTTTTCAGAAAAATTTAATATTTTTTCAGAAAAAATTTAATATTTTTTCAAAACATATAACCAAAAACATATTATTAAACATGTTTTCAATTTTTTTTTATTTTTCAAAACCAAAAAAAAAAATGTTCTCAAACGTGAAATCAAATAGGCCCAATGTCTCAATTGGATTTTAGCTTTTCTGTAAAAATTAAAGGACTCCCTTTTGATCCTTGGACCATCAAATGACCTTGTTTGTAGGGCCGACCTTAACTATCCTATTTTTCATTTTTTCTCCCTGGTCTAGGAAATTTTCTCAATTTTAGAAGAGTCAAATATAAAATATTTGGAGGCAAATTCTCTCAATATTAATGTGCAATCATGATCAACGTGCAATAAGTTTGTTTTAACTTCTGGAGGCTAAAAAAACTAAACAGGCTTTGACAATTCAGAAACTATTATAAAATAAGTAATTAATAATAATTTAATTCATTATAAATATAGCCTCAAAAATGTTCCTCCATTTTTGACATCATTTTTTTTTCTTTTATTTTGCAAATTATTGATATATATGAAGAACGTCATTCGAACGTGCCGCACAAAAGAGGAATAAAGAGAACAATGAGAAGTCGTGGCCGTCGATGACTTATAAGCATAATTGAAGAAGCATATAATTGTATACAAAGGTATGGTTTAACTGGTGAAATCAAAATTTACATTTACACACCATTATATATATATATATATATATATATATATATATTTAACATGCGGATTTTTAGACATGTTAGAGTGGTTCTAATTAATTATTAATTAAATTGGTTCATCGAAGGCCTACTAACACATGCACCATTAATTGGTTTTTGTAGAGTGATTGAAGCCTATTTGTCAGAGTTTATGATCGTGGAAAGCCAATTGCTGGTCAAATTCAAATTGAAAATGAAGGAATATAGAAAAGCAAATGTACAAGTTCTTAAGCCTATTTACCATTTTTGTTCATGTTAATTATATATTCAAGTTCTTAAGACAAAAGTTGAAGCAACCTGTGAATTTCAATACTCATAGTTGACATTCAGTCCTAACATTTTAATTATCTTTTATACCTTTTTTTAATCTTTATTGTTGTATATTTATGATAGCTTCTTCTTTTTCTTTTTTAATTTGAAAAAAAAAGCACAAAGTTGTATGATTATGAACCTTCCATTTTATGATCAATGATGTACAAGCATTATTCTGCAGTGCATAATTCTTAATTCTTGATCTTTCAATTTGTGCTTGATCCCCCAATCAATTTTATCTCCACGGGAACATAAGACTGTCAATTCAAAAATAAAATAGGGACAGTTGTGTCAAAATTCTAAAACAAACTTAAAAAAAACCACTTTACAGTTTTTTTTTTAGCAGTGTCATCTCTCTTGAACTTGCTAAAAAACTTAATTACCATGATCGAGTTGCATTAGAGTGGGGTAAACATTACAATTTAAAATGATCAAAATATTCTCAATAAATGGGAGAAAAAGTAGTGATAATTTTTCATAGAGTAAAATAAATTGACCTCTATTCCAGTTTACTTTAGTTTTGTAAACTTATTTATTTAATAATTTTAAAGGATATAAATACATAAGCTGTCTAAAATAATATTTTAACATATTTGAATTTCTGTTGAAAGAGATGCTTACATTTAATATTCGATTATGTTTCAAACAAAATTACTTTCAATAGAAGAATGTTTGTGAAAATTAAAAAAATGATAATTCAGTTATTAGAAAAAGATTCGAAAGGCCAAAATTGCCTTTGCAGAAGATTTTCCCTTGTTAGGGAGCTATGGAGACAGGGAAGAAGGAGAACAAAGAACCCTCTCCTATCAGAATTCAGTGACCAAAGAAGCGGAGGCTACCAAGGAGAACGAGACTATGCTTTTTGGTATAAAAGATGAAGCCACCATTAACACTGAATTTGAAACCTTACAAAATTTGATGCATGGGATCTTGATGGACAAGTTGGACCTAAAATGCCCCGATTTCACATTCGTGAGGGAAGAAAAATGAGAGACTTAAAATGAGGACTACTGTAAAATTAAAATGAAAATTTTACTTAGTGTCTCAACTTTTAAGGCTTTTATAATATGTTAATTTAAAAGGTTAAAAATATATAATTTTTATATTTTATTAAAAAAATTAAAATGTGGCCCCTTGTTAGTCCTCCTCTCTCCATCCATGGTGAGCCCCACATTATATTTTATAATATTTTTTATTATAAATTATTTGAGTTGAGAGATAAAAATGACTGTCCAGATAGAAGTTAAAAGATAAAAATGACTCTTAATTTAATAAAAAATATTAAAAAATAGTGAGACTCACTGATGACTAATATATGTTAAGTATTTTTAATATTAGGATGATAATGGGTGAAATCTTTAAAGTTGAGGGAGATAATTGAACTATAGTTAAGTTTAAGAAGATTTGTGGTTTTTCATATATAGTTTAGTAACAAAAATGATTCTTAACCCAAGATAATAACTACTAAGACAATAATACTTCTTGATTATATAATGCTAAAAAATATATATATATATATATATATATATAACATCAACTAAATTTCCAAATTAAGGCCAATTAAATTTGTTAATAACATTATTTTTTATTTTATCAATAATATTTGTTAATCTACTAGCAAAACTTGTTAACCACAACTCCTATATATTTAATCTTGATGACTTGTAAAAATATTAACTTATTATTTACTAATGATACTTATCAATTCACTAATAAAACTTGATGAGAAACTTTTTATTCATTCAATTACAGTGACTTATTAAAACCCTCACTTATTAATTTATTAATGTTGCTTGTTAACTTTTTAAAAAAACTTGTTGATAGTACCTTTTACATATTTAATTATGATAACTTATTAAAATTTTAACTTAACTTATTAATTAATTAATACTACTCATACTCATTAATTTTTTAGCAAAACTTATTGACAGTATCTCATGTCAAATGTTGATCTTTGGTTAAAAAAAAAAAAAAAATCTCACGGCAAAAATATCTCTGTTAGTCCCTCCTCCTCCCAAGAGGCAGCGCCATTGCGCGGGACCTAGCGGTAAGAAACCCGACGATTTGGTTTGAAGTGGGATTCCATCAATCTATGGAAGCACTTCATGGTTTCTTCCTCACTTCTCCATTCCCTTTGATCACCACGCCGTCTGCTCCTTCAAAACGTCGTCGTTGCCGTCTTCGAGATCGTCCTTTCTCCGTTGAAGCGGTGCAACCAGAAATTCGGGTATGCACGAATCGGACTTGCCGCAAACAGGGCTCCTTTCAAACCCTAGAAATCCTTTCTGGTCTTGCGCCTCCGAATGTCGCCGTCAAACCGTGCGGCTGTTTGGGCAAGTGCGGTGCTGGTCCCAACCTGGTGGTCCTGCCGGACGGTGTCATCGTTGGTCATTGCGGAACTGCGGCTCGAGCGGCTGAGGTCATGTTGGGTTTGATTTCCGCAGGAGAAGGTTCGGATTCCTATGATGCCAAAAAGAGTTTAGATGCGCTTGCGCTTAGGAAGAGAGCTGAGGTTGCGTTCGAGAAGCAGAATTTCACTGAGGCTGAACTTCTGCTCTCACAGGCACTCCATCCTTTTCGCGCCTGAATGTGAAGTTTACTGTTTTATTGACTATCATTGAGGCGAAAAGTTATATTTTTTCTTTTGTTTTTAAAGAAAATCATGTAGTAGTTTCGTGATCAAGAGCTCGATTTTTTATGTAGTTAGATTGGAGTTGAGAAGCTATATTGAGATTGATATTGTCGAGTTTTTGGTTGGTGCAGGCTATCGAATTAAAACCATTAGGTGGTGTACATGTAATATATAAATGCAGGTATGTTGTCACGAACTTAAAAGTTAAAATTATTTCTGCGAAGGTTTATTATGGTAGCCCTGTGGAAGGTCGTGGATTTTTTTGTTATGCTCCATTTAGTGGTTTTATAATTCGATTTACCATTAGTCTTTTCATTTGGTCATCGTTAAAATACTATGCATTTTTTGTTGCCTATTTTTCCAGAAAAGAGAGCTTGCAACAGGTGTTGCTGTTTCCTTGCTTGCAATCTGGCTTCAATATGAGAGAATATAGTTTTTCCCCCATTTCACTTTGAACATAATCCTTGGTGTCCTGCAAGAGTTTCATCTCCACTGTGCTAACCATGATAAGTAAGTTTGAGACCTTTACTCTTCCGACATTCAGGTCAGTTGTAAGGTTGGCATTGGGTAAATATTCTGGAGCTCTTGAAGACGCAAGGGAGGCTTTGGCATTAGCACCTGAGTATGCTGAGGTGAGCCAATCTCTTATAAATTTATATAGAACAGAGTTTCATGACATTCCAAATCACGGTGGGTAAGTATGATATTTAATTGATTAAATGGCACTGGGTGAAAATACATGGTTTGGGTTACATCATGGAATACTTCTCTCTAGAAATTAGTGATTCCTGGACAATTACCGTTCAATGATGCCCGTTAATCAAAAGTATTTTACTCATTTTTTTTTTTTTATCTCAAGTCATAGTAACGGTTCAGGTTAAATGGTGCACCTTTGTGCATTTGAGTAAAGATGGGGACATCAATTTGTATTCCTTTCCAATCCCCGCACAGTCATAACTTGCAATTATGCATTAAGATATCATGAATGCTATTTGTTGAGCAATACGGTGTTCTTTTAAAGTTGAAACGTGTGCATCTTGGCTATTGATGCATTTGAAATGCTCAATCTTCGTAAGCAGCATGAGGAGTTTAATTTGTGCATACCCTATAAAATCTTCTTCGATGGATCAGATCTTCTATTTAAAGTATTCATGTAGAGATGATGATGGCGAGCCAAGAGACCAGTCCTTAGGTATCAACATGATTGCGGTAGCAATATTGGAATTACAGTCGACTTGGTGAAGTTTTGAGTGACAACAAGTATTTTTGTTTTGACTTCTGCCAAAAGCTTCATAAATCTTTTCATCAAAGGGATACTGCCCTTTATAGTTTAGAATTATAACAATATTCAGGATCTTATCTCAATTAGTCAGGATATGAATTGTTTGTTTTTGTAACGGCCCTGATATTCTAACCATTGGTTTACTTGTCTACCATCAGTTTGAATATATATAGTGATAACATCTGTTTGAATATGTTTGTTTTAACTTTGGTGTGTTTTTGTTTTACCCAATAAAATAATTTTTTATGTGGATTTAATTTAGTAATTTATCATCTCACTGTTCCTGCCAAAATCAAATTTACTTTCATGGTTTAGGAGCATGTCACTGAAATAGATCTTGTGAACTACTTTTCAGGCTTATCTTTGCCAAGGTGATGCATTTTTGGAATTAAAGCAATTCGATTCAGCAGAAAAGTCATATTTGGCATCTATAGATATAGATCCTTCGATCCGACGATCTAAATCATTCAAGGTAGCATTCAATCTTTTGTCCCCAACTATTTAGATATTTAGATTTTCTTGTATTTCATTTATCTAACGTAAATATTTGCATCCATGTCTATTAAATTCTGCGAGAAGGTTGATGTGGCAAGATTGCAGAAAACTCTGTTATTTCCCTTGATATCTCTCATTTGTTTCTGATGTCGATATAATGAGTAATCATTGAAAGTTTAATATGCTCTGATGGGATGCAAATGATCATTTTTGGGGGGGGGGGTATTGATTTAAGCATGTTTTACAAATAAAATTTTCCTACTCATAAAGGATACAGCAACAACAATAACAAGCCTTTATCCCATTAGGTGAGATCGGTTATATGGATTGCAAGACGCCATTGTATTCTATCATTTATCAAGTTTTTAAAAATATTATTAATCAAAAGATCGCGTTCAATAATTTCTAAAAGTGTTCTCGTAGGCCTTTCTCTACTCCTCTTAACAAGGCTCAAAGTTATATATTCCACTCTTCTCATTGGTACCTCACGAGGTCTTCTTTGGACATGCCCAAACCATCTTAAATAATTTTCTATCATTTTTTCTTCAATAGGTGCTACCCTCACTTTTTCGTGTACGTGTTTATTTTGAATTTTATCTTTACATGTATGTGCACACATTCATCATAACATTTTCATCTCTGCTACTCAAACTTTATGTTCTTGTTGTCTCGTTAGAGCACAGCATTCACTATTATATAACATAGTCGGTCT